TGAGCTAAACTTCGCATTTCCCTAAAACTAGAACAGCCCACATCCTTAACTATTTGCGAACAGTAATCTAACCTAGGTCTACCTTTACCCCTCCTAACTCCTGTTTCTGCCTCTAATATGTCTCTGACTAGACCTTCATGTCTGAGAAGGTGTCCTACTAACCTAACTCGCCTATTTCTTATTGACTTCCATAGAGTCCTCTGTTCTCCTATTCTTTCTAATACCTCTTAATTTCTAACCTTCTCTATCTACGTTATCCTCATCATTCGCCTATAACACAACATCTCGAACGCTTCTAACCTTTTCTAATAAAATACCTAATTTTTCTTAGATTTGATTATTTATCGTGTGCCCTTTTCTATGAACCACCACTAGATTTTTAATCCCCTTAAATTGCGCAGCACAAACAAACCAAAATGCATAGGAATCGCTGTCTATCATTGGTTATTAGTTGTTCCATAAATAAATTCAAAAAGATTAAAGTGTATTTACCGCAGTCGGCAAATTTACTGCAATTTAATTCAATTTACATTCACCTAATTATGCAACCGAAACCATCGATAGATGCGCTAACATGATTTAACAATTATGCGTAATTAAACTGCTTGGTTTAAATTTATCGTAGGTACTTGAACTGGAATGAAGAAAATTCAAATTGGACTATTGGATCGAATCAATGACATGTGATATTCGCTTGACTTGATAAAATCGAATAGTCTGTCTGACACTCCAGACTGAGAGACGTAAATTAAATAGCCTTCTGCTTTACTGACATGTGAAATCAGGCAGAAATGTTACAACAGTTATTTGTGAAAAAATTTAATAGGAGACATTGTCTATAGACGTAAAAGTAGGTATTTCATGTTGAGTAAAATTTGGATTTTTGCGACGATTCAAATTATTCATGCTTCCACGGGCTGCATTAATTTAGATGCCTTTTTAACACGACTTCGCAAAGAAATATAGGCCAAAGTTCAATTTTCCCAATCCTGATTAACATTATAAATACGAATGTGAGTTTGTTTGTTTGTCGGCCTTTCACCCCTTAACTACTCAAATGATCATTATAAAATTTTGTACATACATTGTCAGGGGTAGAGAAAAGACTATAGGGTACCTTTTATCCAGAAAAGTAACTGTTCTCGAGGGATAGAAAACTTAGTTTTATGTGGGAAAAAAAAAAATTGGCAGTTATAGGGACTGTCGATAGAAGTGAAAACTTAAAACTTTTAGTATTGAAATTTAAAATTTCACAATTTTTGAATAAAACTTATCAACATCAATCTGGTTTTCACATCTGACACTCCGACCAACAATTATATGCATGTTTATATGGTTTTTTATTATTCAAATATTTACATAAATTTCAATGTACTTGATTTTTAACATTGTTTACATCATTATCATCATTAATTTCAACAATACTTAGACTTTTTGTTCTTTCTATTATTTCATTGTGTTCTAAAAAAGATACAATAGGCTTATGGTAACTAAAGTAAGAAATGAAAACGTTTGATTAAAATTTATCTAAGTATCGCGCAAAAACCACATCGATCCTCTTAGCTGCATAGCTACAAATATACTCAGATATACTGCTACAAGCATGTCGATGATGCGAACGCACTAGATTTCACCCATCCAAAAGGCGTCTAACGCCTACAGCACACGGCCGCTGCGCGTGCGCCAGTCGTGAGCATACACCCATAACATTTTCCCCTGCCAAAAAGTGCCCAACGTCGCTAAAGAAGTTTTCACTTCAAAAAACTTTTGGGTGCAGAGAAGAGAGACTAGTATAGAAGTCCAATTCAAATGGAGGACTAAAACGTAAGAAATTCTAAATAGAACCAGGAGATGGCGTTGCTATGAAAATGAGCGCCTCAACGCTGTATTGAATCGGAGCAAAGAGTGAACGCAGTAATGGTAGGGGTAAATAGTAGAAGTGGTTGGATCATAGAACGCATAAGTCTTTTTCCTTTGCTGTTGTAAGCCGTTTGTAAAGAAAAAAAAAAAACGGTTGATTTTCCGAAACGACAACTACCGGTTGGATGACAGAAGCTTCGAGATTTACCGACATGTTATCCGAAACGAAGTCCGGATTATTAACCCAGCATTGGACTTCTATACTAGTCTCTGTTCGCTGTTTGGGTGTTTCATTTCCACCAGCCAGTAACGCTGGTGGGCGGGCAGAACCCCCGAACTACGTCGGAAGATAGGGCGAAAGTTCCTCTTCAGCCTCCTTTCATGAATCGTGGGAATAGGTGGGTGGTGGTTCGGGTGAGAAAGATGAAGTGGACGAAATGAAGACAGAAGAGAGTGAAAGATTATTTGTGAAATATTACTGCCCCAGCATTTGCTGAAGTGATTAAAGAAACCATAGAAAAACTTGAACCAAAGCAGACGGACCCGGAATCGAACCAGCGTCGTCTCGAATACTAAGAAATGGACTAAACCTGTAGGCCATGCCGCCCGCTGTTTTATGTGGTCGATTTCACGCCGTAAGTACTCAATCGATCATCATGAAATTTTGTAGACACACTGCCAGAGGTACAGAAAAGGTCATAGAGTACCTTATATACTCAAAAAAATACTGTTCCCGACGGATAGAAAAATTAGTTTTATGTGGTCGTCCATGATTTTTGACACGTATCTAGGGAGTCAACGCGAGCGAAGCCGCGGGCAAAATCTAGTTTAAAAATAACTACTTATTTAATTATTATACTGTTAAAGAAATTAGTTTTGCAAAAAAATAGTAAATGGCTACTGGTAAATTAGCAATGGAGCAAATTAACTACTAAAAATCAGAAGAATAATAAAAACGCTAACCATTTTTTGAACCGTCGAAAATTATGTACCTTTAAAATGATGAAATTTTATTTTGATCTGATTTGGCGTTTATTTTGTTTCATTGCTAATTCTTCACAGCTTCACTAAACGACTTTTGCAAAGGTGTCTCCTACAATTAATCATCAACTTAGGGATATTTTGTATAAAGCTAACTTCATTAACAGTGTAAAATAAATTAATGTTACTTTTAAGGCAGCTAACAAGTTAGAAAAAATTGTCAGAAATAATAAAAACAAAATAGAAAATTCACAAAAATCAGGTACTTATATATAATAATTCAAATAAATAACTTTCTGGGTTCTCTCCTATACTTTCCTACGCACTACGACTCCTACTACTACCAAATTACCTTCCACCGTATTATTGTAAACTCAAAAATGTCTCTTTTTTCGAAAAAATAAGTCCCTATATTGCTGTTTAAAGTTAACGAAACTCGTTAACTTTAATCTTAATATGGTTTGATGGCACCTCCACTCATTCTTATCCTCAGGTAATCTTCCCATTTCACTAAAACTAGAGCATCCCACATCCTTAACTACCTATTTGTGAACGGTTATCTAGGTCTACCTCTACTTCTTTTAACTCATCTTTCTCTAGCTAGTCGTCTATTTCTTATTAACTTTCATAGCACTCTCTGTTCTCCTACTCTTTCTAATACCTCCTCATTTCTAACCTTCTCTATCCTCATTATTCGTCTGTAACGCCATACAACGCTTCTAATCTATTCGTTTCCAATGCGTCCAGCGTCTAAGCTTTCACTCAGAAACGCGTCAGATGGTGAAATCTTAGAATATCTACCAGAGCCACTCCCAATGAAGCTTATCATCTATAAAATTTAGGAATTTACATATTCAAGTTAATTTAACTTGAGTTTTTCGTTACTAATTCAGCTCACATATTTAAACGATAGGCTAAGATAGTTTTAAACAAACGGGTTCGATGTACATAGTTCATAGTATAATTTAAAGTATACAAAAGATGTAAGTGCAATACAAAATTCATCAGTGAATGCGTTCCTAATCCTAATAACAAATAGCACCGCTAATTAGTTTTGGCAGTGCCGCTTTATTCTACACTACTAAATAGTTAGCAGCAAGATATTGCCTGATTCGAGCCCTTACAAGGCTAACCCCATCCGAACACCCTATTTTTTCTTCCCTTGCAAACCTACTAACAGTGTTGTTTTATCTTTATTTAATACTTTTCTGCATGTAGTATTAATTAACACGGAAAGCATTGTAAACGATAAATGGTGTAACGAACAGGAGGAAGTATTTTGTATATATGTATCGTGAAAATTGATCTTTTTCCCAATACGGTCTAGTTAACGAATCGTCTATTATAGAAAATACAACCTGCTAGATTTTCACACGAACGTCTACCATTACTTTACACTTAATGATTTACGTGACTTATAAACGTCATTAAACGTAGAACATGTAGCTGACTTAATGTACATTGTATACTTACACCTAATTTAGATTTTTATCTGTCGAACAGTTGAATTCTAAACAATTTAACTAAATAAGATAATAAACTAATTCATGATTATTATTAGCCGGACGAAAACGGTACAAGTTGAAGCACTGTTTTGCTTTACGTTAGCCTTTTAGAAGCTTAAAGTATGTGTTTTTATTGCTATGAATACTTGATAAGTTAGAGTTTATTTACGTGAGGGGTGGCGCTCTTTCACTCTTAAATCGCTTAAGGATAAGTGTTGTTTCATTAACTGTTTACACCGTCTGCTAGTTTCATAGAACGAAAGTAAAACAATATCTAAAATAATAAAAACAATATAGAGAGTTCACAAAAGTCTGATACTCATTTATAAATTACATACTTTCTGCGTTCTGTCCTGTACTTTATTACGCATTACAACTCCTATTACTACCACATACCTTTCACCGACTGTATATTTGTAAACTCTTCACTCCAAAGATCTCAAAAGTTAGAAATAACAAACTCAGTTTTAAATGTGGTTTTATATGCACGTCCAATCTTCGCATTTCACTAAAACTGGAACATCCCACCTCCTTAACTACCTGTTTGTGAACGGTAATCTAGGTCTACCTCTATTCCTCTTAACTGACGTTCTTCTAGAAAGCTCTTTATCTCGTCTATTTCTTCTAAATTTCATAGTTCCGTCCGTTCTCCTACTCTTTCTAATACCTCCTCATTCCAAACCTTCTCTGTCCTCATTATTTGCGTGTAATATCACACAACGCTGTTTACACCGTCTGCTACTTTCACAGAACGAAAGTAAAGAAATTTATACATCCGGGGTTCAAATATTGGTATGAGGTTCCTGGTTTTAAATTTTTGCTGCCTAAACCTAACCGATCGAAAAATTATGTAGGTATCCCGTAATGGCATATACCATCTGCCGATATCAAGACACGTAACATTTACCACAAAGATAATGTAAATTACGAAGCAGGCAGTTTGATTTATTTATTAGAAGAAATTCGATGATCTCGTCTGCCAATTGCCCAATTTTTGGAAAATTCAAATCGATACTGAAGCATTACAATAAATCAATCCGCCTCTTTGATTATGTACATCATCTCTGCAGTAAATATAATTTGTCTATATGCCATCGGCAGACAGCATTAAGCCATTACAAGATACTTAATTAAGGAGCAGCGAAAGTTAAGTATTACTGAAACGGTCTATCAATACCTGAGCGCCGGATATGTTTTTTTTTTTTTTAATTTCGATCTATAAAAATGGCAGATGGGACAAAGTTAGTGAATGTTCTCTTAGGTATATTTTTGAACGATTTGAAAACGATAAGGCGTATTAAGTCTCACCTAAAACCTCAACTTATTCGGAATTCATAATAATAAACGCATATACAATACACTTTAAACTCCCAAAAGAACAGACTGTACAAAAATATATTTCAACTTGAGTCATTTTCGTCTGGTATATTACTGAAGACATTAAAAATTCATGTTATAATTCATAATTCATAATCTAATAATGATGCGAAAAAGAATCAAAACGTTAACGATAAAAATTATGATCAAATCACCAAGTACTGAGCTGTTAAATATGACGACTAGAACACAATAACACAAATAAGCAGATATGTACCTATAGGTATGTTAATAGTAACGTACAGCAATTTACAAATTCGAATAATAAATGTAATAGTCTGATAAAAGAAAATAATGTCCTTTTTGAAGTGAAACTTTATTGGGCTCGATGAGAGTAAAATCTCAAGGCCATGAAACGACACGTTTTGCAACGTTTTGTCTCGCGAAGCGATAGGCCATGAGAATAGAAAGGCGCGCAAGCGCATATCGGTATTACAGTCAGTTGTTAGTGACCGGTATCTCATATATTATTGTATACTGTGTATTCAATATACTACAGTGCTAAATTAATGTTTTGGTTATATCTGTGCAGTTATATTACAGTAAATGTTTATTTAACAACAATTAATATTTATTTAAGAGTGAGTATTATTATGTATTAATTCTAATTCCTTATAGTTATTGATAGTTTACGGTTTCTTAAGCACTTGGAAAATAAACGGAAGCGAAAAAAATTTGACCATTTTTTTCTTATTGAATTACATAAAAACATATTAAAGTAATACTCCTTAGGTGGACTAAAGATAAAATATGTTGGAAAACATAAATCCTGAAAATTCTCGTACTCTCTCTTTCTTTCACCAATCATTACTTATTCGTTATAAAGGTATAGAGATCGCCAAAGAAGTTTCACTTCTTTCACGTGTACTGAGTTGCACCTGTTTTTATTTAGATACTGTACTTATTTTCAGATAATTTACGTATTTCATATTCTACTGCTGTCACCAGTTAATGCAAGAACTGCTGGACAGAGTTTAAGGAAACTTTTCTCATTTTAAATTTTATATGTTTATAACACTAACTGGTGGTTCACTCCTCGAGAGGTTAACTTATTCTTTACCTTCAAAAACATCACGGTCAAGCGTCGTAGAAATGAAACCAAAACCAATTCTTACCAAATCGGAAAGAAACTTGATGGTGACTTTGGACTGAACCTTGGCCCTTTTTTGCGGAATTATCTGAAGGTTAATGCGGGGTATTTACTTGTGCTCAAATAGAGTAATGAAAAAAAAGACGACAAGGGTCACAAGGATATCGACTTGTCGAACTGAGCCCTGAGCCATGTATTTATTTATAATAAAACATACATTTGAATTCACAAGTTCCTTATATAAAATTGTTCAATTAGATACGCTTGTTAGTTTATGAAGGACATCCTAAAACATATTATACTTAATACTCCTACATTGTTAGTAAGTCTGGTAAAAATATGACGATCCAACTGTACAGATATACATACGCCTGTTTCTCTTATTTAGACGCCAAAATATTATACGCATGTCTGACAATTATATTTATAGATTGAATTCAGTCATACCGCGTCTTTATTTTATTTAGATTGACCACTTCCCAATTCTCCATCAAAGGGTGTTCTGTCGGAGCTGCCTGCAACGCGCTGATGAGATCCAAAAAGATCGAAATTGCGATTCGCGTCTGGCAGTTTCGACAGAATACGGACCACTTAAAGGGTGAAACGTTCGAGTTTAATAATAAAGCGCTTTTTCACCCGAAAATAGTTTGGACATGGGTACTAAGTTCCTTATTCACGGTTTCCTTATTCGCGTTTTCATTATTCGCCGGTGAAAAAATTGCAATCCAGTTCTTGTATTCGCAGCAGAAAATTTCATTATTCGCGGATGCAATCGGTAAACAGAAAAGGATTCGGTGTCATTTATTAAGGGGGTTGACCCCAACAGACCACTCGTACCTACTCTGACTTTTTCCGAAAATTAGAAAATGGCCTTCGACAAACTTTAGAAAAATCTTTATCTACCTTACTACAAAATTTGAAACCTCTGTTTCAAACATTAAACTCATGATATCTAGAACCGACAGCATGTTTTGCTCTACGGCGCGTGTACTACTGAATCCCCTTAATGGATCGGCATCTTTTGAGTATCTACAGGTGATACGTGCTGAGGTAGATGTAACCGGGGACTAATTCAAAATTCAAAACAAGAAAAAATTACTAAATTTTTTAAACCCTTGTCTAAAGATTCTCAATAAATTGATTTTATCCTGATACATATTGATTTTATTTTGGAACCTTAGAACGTATCCCCTATGATTCCTTATTAATTATCATTCCATATCCACGGTTTCTGTATTCGCGGCATACTTATGGAACGTATACCCCGCAAATGAAGAACTTTTACTGTAACATATTATCTTCTATTCCCAATGTTAAACGCTTGTGTTATTTTCTGCCTTCATTTTTTACTTATCATGATTTCAAACAGACCATTATAATGTGTGACAGCAAGTCATTGGTATTATTTTAGATAAATTATAAAAGTACATTAATTTTTACTTTCGCTACTATTTTTATCATTATGAGGCTCACAAACTTTTGCATAACTGAAAATTTAATGTTCTTTAGTGGTAATTAACAACCACAAACCTAAAATTAAAACGTCTATTCTCTTTTGGATACATCGTCGAAACGAAATAACTTTATCGAAGTATCAGAGTATGTTTATAATACTGTTACAGCGGTACCTTGAAAACCGAATTGAGATTTTAATGAAGACATAAATTCTCTTAATTTGGAGGGAAAATCTTTTCATAAATAACCTGCTAATTTGAGTCCCTATCCTGTAAGTACCTGACTTCTACCCCTTCGAACTCTAACACAGTATTTACAGTAAGGATATGGCATACTAACAAAAATCGATCGACACAAAATTCTAAAAGCGAAAGTGATCGATTCCATTGTTCAAAATCTGGAACTAAAACTTTAAATATCATCTTATGTGCTGTAAATTACAACAAAATTTCTATACTTTTGAAAAATCAATCTATTTAAACCTGTCCAATTCATTTCTGTTGTCGCCAATCAAGACTTTTCTCTAACATAAGTAAACACAGTCATCCATGACTATACAGGGTGTTTCTGAAATAAGTAGCAAGCTTTGGAGGGTGTTAACTAGATGAAATAAGGAATCACATGGTAAGTAAAGGAGCGTGGTTAAGAAACAAAAAAATAAGAAAAACAGACGAAGTTGCAAGCCAAGGCCGGCCCTGGGCGTGAACTGGTAACGTACAGAGAAATTGCGATAATAATTAAGCAGATACATCGATGAAAAATGTTCACAGTAACGGTTGTAGAACGTCTAATAAAGTAAATATCAACAGCTTACTACTACGTCCATTGCGATAATAATTAATTAAGCAATTACTTTGTTCATCGCTGATGGTATGTAGTACTACACAAAGTACACCACGACATTATTAAGAAAACAAAAGAAAGAAAAAAATAACGTTATGAAAACTTTAATAGGTAAATTGAGATCCTTTGGAAAGGTAGTAATAATTTTATTAAATGTCCAAACTACCGCTGAGGCAATAATAATATGGCACACTGACTTATAACATTGACACATTGACCTACTATTTATGACTTCAACTGTCTATATGCATGCGTAATACAAGTGTACAACTTTAAAAGAACAAAAAGAATTCTATTCTGGCTGTAAACATAAACATCGTCAATCACACTTAATATAATCTAGCAAATAACAAACAATACACGAGTAGGTACAAAAGATATACAATACGGATGCTGTTAAATGCGGCGTTGCAATGTCTTATTTTCCTGTGTGATCCTATCAGAGCCGCACTGGCCCTTGACTCTACTTTCAAATACGTTTTCCTCGAAAACGGTGGACTTTCGGACCACCAAACATTTACTTAATTTTCTTGTTTCATAGTGCACTATCACCTTCTACAAGCTTATTACTTATTTCAGAAACACCTTGTATACAAAGAGGTAGGTACCCTTAACTTTTGGTTTAGTTAATGGTTTTAGTTTATTAACTTTGAACATACATTCATAAATTTAACGCCATTATTTGATCAATACCAACTTTTACCAAAACTTTTTAACTTAATCATTCTTTTCTTTCAGCTATTCACGTGGGAATAAAAAAGTTGAAGAGCTAGTGTCACTTTGAGTGCGTCATAAAAAGAATTATAAATCCGTCAAAGATATTAATAATAATCAATCATATCTACAGGACGTACAACTTCTTTTAAAACAACTTGTATTGTAAGTACCGCAGTATTTTCCAGCGAATTGTAAACGAATTTGCTGCGAAGCGCTGCAACTTTTAAAGACTTAATTGGTCCAAAACAGCTTAATTAAAAGCTAGTCTGAAAAGCTGCATGGCTATAGCACAAACACGTAATTACTTTGAGCATTTGAACTTTTCCATCAAAGTTTACTGAGTAATGATTCTGGTTTGGCATAAAGACAATTTTTTCGCTTTTTAAAGTTGTATTACCAGAGATTTGAGATTTTCGCAGACAGATAAAAATCGCGCTGGAAGTGATTAATTTGATAATAGCGGCTGGATTTTGATAAAATAAATATATCCATTTAAATAGTTTCAAAAAATATTTAAAAAGCAGCCAAGTGAGATGTTATGATTAACCTAATGTCTTTTTTTTCTTTTGAAATACATCGAAATGGAATACAACTAGGTACCTATAAATACCCTTAAAATCCCAAAATCCTCATATTAGCGATAGGATTGGTAAAGTCAATTATTATTGTTGTCTTTTTGTCATTTTTTTGACTAATCGCATTGTTGATAGGAATTCATGGTGAATGCTGCTGCTAACTGAAGTATTTCATATGTTAGGCAAGAGCTTTACTAAGGACCAGTTACTAATGTTGGTGGGACAGTGGTACCTCCTAATCACGTCTAAAATGAGACGAAAGAACCACTTTACTCTCTTTTTAGGAATCATGAGAGTGGATTGATGATAGCTAGGGAGAAACAGAAGAAACGAGTGAAATGAGGAGAATGAAACTATTATCTAAGGCATTCAGATAATTTTGAGAAGAGATTAATATTGTTATTATTTATACTATTTTATAACAAAAAAGAAATTAAAATAAGTTTATTGCTTTGGAACTCCAAAGGCATGATTTTATCTACTAGTTAGTCAGAACCTTCTCCTTTACCTAAAGCAAAAAAAAAGCATTGAAAAGTGAAATTTGTTTTCTGCGTAGGTACATTAAACTTCTTTATTTTTACTTAAAACTTCAAAAGAGTCTGGGTTTTAAAATTTACCGTGCTATCTATCTAAATTATTAAAGATATTTATAGATAACATAATTAATGAATAGAAAAAATACTTACTAAAATAAAAGAGTGAAAAGGGGACTTATTACCGAAATATTTGAAGGAAGGGAAAATATAACAGTAATAGCGAGATTTCGAATGAGGAATCAATCAATACAATGAAAGCAAGTACTGGATGAAAAAAAAAGGAAGAAAATGTAGAAT